TCTAATTGGTTCTATTTCTTTTAGTTAAGAGAGTATCTCTTACCCTTGAACTTCTAGGGATGGAAAACATACTCTTCTTTTTCCACCTGTTGAGTTTGGATTGGACATGAGAACCCAGAGGACATCTCAAAAGCAGTGAAAGATATGGAACTGAATAAAGAGGGAGAATGTCTACATCTGATTTTTTGCTGAATAAATTCTTTATATTAACATCATAATTTAAAGACTACAGCATTGGAGCTCACACTGCCATTCTTTGTACTTTGTTGGGAAAAAATCAACAACAAAGACATGTATTGATGCTGCTTTGAGACAAGAGTGTCTTAGTTAATATTTTCACTCTTTTAGTACTAAGTAATGATGAATACAGTACAGATGAAAGACATCGCGATTCTCTCAGACTGAGTGAGCAATGCTTTACACCCTCTTTACCAAAAGGGTTAAACAGCTACCCAAGGTATGTTTTAGTAGCTGTACTACTTTTAAAACACTCCCAGATATCACAGTAGTTGCTTTCATCAGAAGCAAAGCTACAGGCTTGAGTCACTCCTTCAGCTGCTGTCCTTCCTCAGTGCCCCTTGCCCCTCAGCTCTCATCTACTTCATTGCAACTTTGGGCATTTAATGATGATGGCAGTGAGAAGCACTGAAGTCTTTCATAATAATATTATTATTAGTGGTAGTAGTAATAGTATAGTCTGAGATTCTTTTGTTCCACTAATTATTTTGCCAACTAATTAATTCACTATTTTCAGAAATAAAGAATGGCAAGCAATAGGATATTTGAAAAAGACATGTTAGAAAATTCCTGATTTCAAAATATTGGATCAAGAAGTTGCTTGCTTTCAAGACCCAAAAGTGTACTCCTTGGCACTGGGATACTGACAGTATGTTGTTGCTTTTACTGCCATTGAAGATTTGCTGCTCTTTCTTTCTTGGATATAAAAAATGAAATATCTAGGAAAGCAGCTGAAGGTAGAAAATATTAGTAAAGTTCTAACTTTTAGCAAGACCATGATCATCCTGAAGAGTTCTCCGTCATGGTAAAGAATAAAAATACAGCATTCTCCCCTTTTAAAAACTCCTGAACATGCCATTTTACCAACACACGTGAAATACGAGCACCATCCAGTGGCAAAGGAAGTAAATCACATTTTATAGTTTCGATTTCCTCCTCTTTTTTCCCAAACCACAGAATCTAACTAGGCATTTAAATGTTTATATTAAATTTCCTGCATTTTTGAAAACTAGCATAACTACATTTCTGCTAATTTCTCAAAGATGTTGTAGCAGTAGGAAGCTTTTTTTTTTTTGAGTACGTTGCATCTCAGCTGAACAGTGCATGTTAGCCTTTAATTGTGGTCAGTACCGTTAAGATATTTCATTAAAAATGCAAAAATCTTTTGCAAACACATCCTTCTTTTCTTAGCCACTGCTATCACAAACATAACTGGTTACGCCGCAGTGTGACAAGATAACTGTTGTTCTTACGCCAGCATGAGGATTCATCAGTTAACATATATCTGCTGCTCCCTGAGAATAGGGTTATGATTGTGCAGCTTTGTTTCATTTTTTTTTCTTTTTTTTCCCCCCTCTGTTCTCTTTTTTTCTTCTGTGCATGATACTTTGTAAGGTATCAATAATATTTTGATAAATTAAAAAAGGCTAACAACAAGTAACAAGACTTTATAATCTGTCCTGCAATTCACTGAATATGAGAACCTCTGTTGAAGAGTATGGAGGTAATGATGTGGCCTTCGTTTGTGCCATACTTATGCTGACTTATTCTGTGGTCTTTCTTTGGGGAAATCAGATCTCAGAAAGCATATTGGTTTCAGAAACCCTAGGCCTTCTGCAAGAAATTATATTGGAAATGTATTTTCACTTTCCACATGGATGATTTTGTTCTTCGGCTATTTCAGATTGTGTAGGACACAAATAGGATTTTCTTTAATTTTAAGCATGACTGCCTTTTGCAATGATCTTTTTGTTAAAAAAAAAGGTAAATTAATTGTGCTTATGACTGATATGACACACAGACTTTCTGGCTTTTAAGTAGATAAATATCTGAAACCTCTTTCCTGCCCTCTACTCTTCACTTCCTTCTTCTCCACAAGGACAGCAAGTAGCAATTTGCTCTCAGTATGAAAGAGGTGTGAATCCCCTTGGTTTTAACAGCAACTGTACATACAATTTCATACTTTGCTTCAGCAGTTCTTTCATCAATATCCAAGGACTTGGATGTTACAGTTCATAGTAATTATTTTTAAAGTTTTTAAATCTCCACATCTAGCAAATTTTTTTTGACCAGTCCTGCTTCTTCCGTCAGGACAGACAGTGCCTTCATGTTTAGCCTGTCTGACTAAAACCAGGTTAAAGGAACTTCTGCACTTCAGGGTGTTCAATCACGGTTGGTATCAAAGTACGAATTGAACACCTGGCAATAGACAGGACATACATCCTGAGTTTCTCAAGCCTGAAAAATTTCACAAAGCCAAAGTAAGACATGCTAAGTGGAGCTATTAGGAAACAACTGAATGAGAAGCAGTGGTTTAAATGAGTAGAAGATCTAAATACCCATTAGAAGTGTTCAGAGACAGGTAAAAGGGCAGAAACGAGACATATTCCCCAGCAGAATAATCTTCAGTAATCTGCTTAAGTAGCGTTAGTCCCCTTTGTGATGCTTTAAACAGACGTAGCCACTTCAACAGTAAGATCTTGCTCACGTTCTTAACGTGTCTTGTGTAGCAGCAGACGTTTAGTGATCACATTTAAAACTAAGGTATAAAAGCATGTCACTATAGGCAAGATGTCTGTAACAACAGTCTTCTGCACTCTATGGACTGGGCACAGAGGGGTTGCATGACAACTACCTTGAGCAGCCACTTACTTTTGAAGCCTGATGAGATAGGATGGATGAAGTCTGCTGCTGCTCTGCCACAGCATGAATATTTTGTACACACTTCCTCTGGGTCTCTAATGCTGATCCATTATACACATTATACACATATTGCCAATTGATCAGTTATGGATGCACAACCTGCTTAAATGACACCAGCTCTCTCCCTTATATTCGAATACAGGTATATTAGAGGACTACTTTAAACTCTATTTTATGTGCACAGCTTCTAACAAATGTAAGATAAGCCTGGTAATTAAATATAGCTGTTTCTCAACTAATGCTACTAGTTCAGCTTTCTGATGATTGGAAATAACTTCAAAAGCCCCCCGAGTTAGAAAATGAAAATTATCTGGGATTATCCTCCCAAATACAAAAAAGTTATCCCTACGGAATTTTACTGGGTTGCTAAGATGATTTGTTTAAGGTTTTGCTCCTTCTCATTTGCTTGGCATAGCTTTTCCACACTGACATGCTCAAAGCTGTACACACAGCTACAGATGTGTTAGAACACCATTGTTCCCATGCGGACAAGCAGAAGGCACTCACCTATTGGACCACCAGGATCCCAAATCAGCCTTCACAATTCTTCTTCCCACATCAAAGGGCAAGAGGTGGGCAATGAATGATGGAGAATAGTCAGAGCTATGTAAGAGATCTGTTTCAGTTTTGGGCCTCTGGAACAGGGTTAAACCAGAGTGACGGAGAGTGGGATAGTGAGACATCCATACCTGGTTATGATTCTGAGACTTGCATTTACCTCAAATGAATTAATCCGGTTCTTTGTCTGATGCTGGGACAACGTAACTAGGTTCTGTCCTTTGCTTATTACAGGTAGAGAAGTCAGTAACTACACCTGACTTTCAAGCTCTTTAAGGTAAGGAATAGATCACGTACTAGCTTCCAGAGTGTCATGACGGTATCATGCGACATCAACTACTGTCTTCACAGTAGAAGTCCTTGTCCAATAGTTTATTAAGATGACTGATGCAGCATTTTTTGTTTTCAGGTTCTTTTAGCATCTCTATTCAGCTTTTAAAGGTTATTCTTTCAGGTAGTCCAGCTGAGGGAAAAGCAGGCTGTGTTATAAGTGTATTAGGAAATCACAGAGAAATACCTTGTCAATCTCTTTATTCATAGGTTAAAATGTAATGCCATACAGTTCTTAACAATTACTGACTGAAAAAAATTACCTGCATAAAACAGAAGCAAAACTGAAGGAGACTAATTAAAAAAGCCATCTTGCTTCAACTTTTGAAACGATTGCATACAGAATATACATATTTACATTACAAGTATATTATATAAATATAATATATATGTAATCTTGTAACCACAATAAATATCAAGAAGGTCTTTTTAGGCACACAGCATAGAAAAAATGCAGAATCTGCACAATTCTTAAGGTTCTTGGAGTGACTCACTCTTACATTGTTTTCACACTGAAAAAGCAAATATTTTACACAAAATATACAGCCACAGTTTATGCAGTCCCCAGTGAACAGGGAATCTTTCCTTGCTTTCCTGTAAGTCTACTCCTTGATTTTCTAATACTATTGCTCTATACAGCTATTACATAAGAAAATAGTTTGCAGGTTTGTTTTTTACTCAGCTAATAGCCTAAGTAATTATCAGTGCTAACAAAATAAGTACAGCGTATCTACATAAGTATATACAAGTGTTTGCAGAAACACGGGTTTGGTGAACTACTTCTGAGCTCACTTTTAATACTGGGGAGTTAACCCGAAAGCAGAAAAAAAGGATTTTCAGTGATATTACCTCAGAAATATTTGATCATTTGAGTGAGACCTGGGCTTCAGAGATAGCGTTAAATTTAGAAATGAACTCAAAAATTAAATTCATGGCTATGCTGGCAGATGTAGGCTGCCATTCATTTTGACTGTGTTCCCTTCAGTGCAAATGAAAACCCAGAGAATTAATCCAAAGGGAGTTTTCTCAACCTGTACGTACAGTCATGACATTTTAAAGACTGTCGCTATGGAGCACCTGAGATCGCACCCTAGTAAATGAAGCTGACCACTTCTCGTAAGAGAGCCATGATCAGTGAGAGAGGAGAAACAAACAGCATTTCTTTTCTGCAGTTACAAATCAGACTCCGGCATATCAGGCATATCTGCCATCAGGTACCCAATACCATAACGGCCATTTGGAGCAGTATCCAGAGTTGGTGATCCAGTCTGTTTTCGATATATGTTTTTGCCAAAATTCGGAGATGGCACTTCACTTGGACTCTTCCCATGAATCAGACTTGTATTATCTCCCTCCAGATTAACAGGTTCCTTTATTATCCGTCCCCTTTTGTAGGATACAGATGCCAAACTACCAGAGCTGTCATCGATAAGGTTGCAACGCCGCACCATGAAGACTATTGGGACTGGCAGTATGGCCAATACCATCAGCGATATACAGACAATCATTCCCCATGTTGGATAGCTGTGGAATTCTTCCATAGCCTGTGCAACCCAAGAGAAAAACTATTAATACATATTTACTTAGAAAAGAGCACATCTTCAGTCCTCACCAAAGCACGCAGTTTTCAAACACATGCTCATTTTTTCATCACCTTGCACCCACAATGTGGGCACTGCTACAGATCCCAAATTTTAACAGTCACGGAGATGTAGGATTACTATCTTTCTGCCAGCGAGTAGGACCAAAACACTGTCTCAGTTTCTGAGATGCTCAGAGCACTCTAGTAGAGCCCAAAGCAAGATTTTTCACATTAGGCCGCCTTCTATATTTTTCTGTAGTTGTTCCCTGATCCTTTAAAGGAAGTTCAGAACAGACAAGTGTTCAGTGATGTCTGAAACTAAGTCCTTGTTCTGTAGACTAATAGCTGGTCTAGACCTGGACTGTCTCAGATCACCTTGTGTAATTGTTCCACTTTGTATAGACTTCATGCAAACTGTAACACATTTACTGGGGCAGTGACTGCACCCTGCACCTCTAGTGCATCCATGAATCACTGGCCAACAGACTGTTTGCCAAGTAGCTCAATTAGCATTTGATTTTATACATGGAAAGGAATGGTATGATTGGTATTCTGAGGTATTTCTCTTTCTAATTTTTGAGGGCAAGAATCAAACATAACAAGAGTGTGTTTCTGAGAATCCCAAGAAAGTAGTAGTGGTTGCCTGGTCTACCTTAAGTAAAGCCAACCTCTTGTATTTACACTTTACCCATCTTACCTATGATTTCCTTCCCTACCCCCGGCTAATTCGGACAATTGTCCATGCAGAAGGGTCCTGAGATTCATCTCTCTGACATTTTATGCTCCCTGTATTTTGCATGGCAAGCCTGTAGGAACAGCTGATGGATGGCTGATGAGCCTACAGACTAGCAGAACTCTTAGAAGTTACCTTGACTGAATCTCTTTTTGGAGCAACGTGCGGCACTGACTCTGCAGTTCACACAGACAGGTTTTTCACAAATCAAATATTCTTATCAGAGACAGGTTATAATGCAGCTGTTACCTACAATGTGATATGTGTTCCCAAAAGGGATCATTTACGACATGGCTAAATCTCAGTATTTAATTCCACAAAAAATTGATGTAATATCTGAAATTACTTATTCAGTGTTACCATCCAACTATTTTCTGCAGTAAAATAAGAATTAATCGAACTGAACAACCTCTCCCACCCTTAAGCATTTCTCCAACATACATCAACAAACTATGAGTCACAAAAAAGCATGGTTTCTGTCAAGCAGTTATATTTTAAAGCAGAACTACTGTAGTTAAAAAATGGTTGGTTTTACATTAATGTTACTTGAGACACAAACAACTCATTATTTATACTGATTTTGAATTTTTAATTGCAAATTTTTTGTCTTTTCATGTACTTCTGAAATACTTCAGATATGATGATTATGACAGTGATGGCATCTGCTATATACATACCATATCTTCAATCCAAGCATTGTAGCCAGGAGGACTTAATCCCATTTGGACAATGCTAGCTACCAGCAAACATAACAATACTAAAGGTGAAACATACTTCCACATGTAGTAATAATACTGGCTTGGAGAAAACCCAAGCATATCCTTTAGATCCTCCATAAATCTGTGAAGGGAATAAAAGATAATTGTTAGTGTGTACAATGAGATTTCAAGTACTATAATTGATACCTAGCACCCGATTTGAGGGAACAGACACTGAAAAAATGCATGTATAGAAATGGCTGCAGTTTAGATTACCTGATGGTCTGAAAAATAGAGCTTGTGTTACCTACCAGTTCAGAACAGATGAACAGAAGGAATTGCTACATGGTGCAGTGACTTAGTAAACTGCTTGCTGGACCATGCTGGAAAGATACTTAAACTCACCTTTCTTTTATAGGATTCTTTTTTACATCTTCTTATCTTGTCTACTGGTTTGTTTACTAATGTGTCATAACTTTTGAGGACATATACAACCAGCACATCTTGCAGATTCTGCAAAATTAATTTCGAACCCACATGTGTGCTGCAGTGTATATAGTAACTTCATGCACAAGCTATGGTTTACATCATATAAGTTGCTGCAATAAATCTTTGTGGAGTTTTAAATCTGCCTCCCTGTGCCTCAAAATTGCAAGTTATGATGTGAACAAAACTCCTACTTTGTACGCTTGACAGAAGAGTACATGGTTCCAGAGCCAGTAGAAAAAGAGAGAATAGTTTTAGAACTAATTCTTTTGAAGTGTGGACAAACACTGATTCTGTTTTAACTCCCTTGTGGTTGCACTCCCTCAGAAAAGCTCTTGTAGCAATAAATACATTTACACATGTGAAGCTACTGTCACATAAGCTCTCAAAAAAATTTTTGAACTGCAAAGTTTGGAGTATTCTATCCTTTGTTTACACTGCAATGAAACACATTGTTAAAAAGAAGCTGCATTTACAAATGGATTGTCCTCTGTAGATAGCCTTTTCTTTTTTGGGATCTCCAGTTCTTCATCCAGTTAAACATAATTCCATTATCTTCACTTTCTTCTTTCATCATCTCCATCCTACTTATCCTCTTTTAAAAGCTACCAAGCTAATTTAGCACTGATTCCAGTGTCACAGATATTCTTTACTGGCTGCAGGGATTCACATATTCTCTTTTTTCTATCCTTTGGCTGTAATCCCTTTGGAAGCAATGGGTGGGTTTTTTCTACCTGATCAAAGACAATGTGTCTAATAAGACATATATATGGATCTTCATCTACGAGGAGGACCCCTTGGTGCTATCACAGCCAATGACAACCTGAAGTTGTTGATTCTGGCAGTTTTTGCAAACAAGGATGCTAGGTTCCTGAAGAAGGACATTCTGGAGAAATATGCATCAGGAGAAATATTAGGAATACTCCAGAGGGAGGTCCAGGTGGCCGTTATGAATGAGAAATTTGGCTGTTAACTTTTCACTATATCCTGTCAGAATGCCTTCTGAAGACATGAATCAACCGCACTCTGATTCAGAAGCATATTACCATATTTTAGTTATTCCTGAACACCAACTTCTTCACCAGTTAAGCTGCTGACTTTTAGCCTGTCTACCTCCCTTTACAGTGGAACTCTACCTGACCGGACATTGCCAACCTGATACCCAGGTTATCTGTTTCACCTTTTGTTTTCATGTGTAAAAACATCTACATGGTGTTTTCATGCCTATGTGATCAATTATAGGATTATACATGTGGCCCAAGTGGGAATTCTCCCTTAATGAATAAGCAGACCAGGCACTACTTGCATAGACCAGAAACAATGTCTGGAAACCATAAAATTGAATTTTCTTATTATGGTTTTATTTCATTATGGTGAGGAACTGGATGATTACTTAGATCGAACAAGTGAAAATTCAAATGAAAAACCACCCATCCTATGTCACCCTTTGTACATGCAAAGGAATCAATCACAGATGTTGAAATTACTTCAACATGCTAGTATAGCATACTCTGTTTTATCTGTGGATGGCATGAGCTATTTTTGATACAAACTCTTCTATTCCCTAAGTGTGGCACACGTTGATCTCGCCTGAACACATTCTGGTGATTTCGGTCGCAAGACAAAAAATTAGAGGGACTTGACAGTCTTTTCTGTGCAGCCATCACTGATAGAAGATCACTTGACTTCATTGTCAACTGTGCTGCTTCCAAGTAAGTTTTGACCCTATTCTTTGCTATCATTTTCTCTATTTCCTCTCACAACTAATGCAAAGAACAATTAATTGCTACAACACCCCCAAACTAAGTCTAGTTCATAAACTGAAACTTTCTTATTGTTAGCTGCCATTAGAGTTTGCTTTGTTCACTTCTCAGGCTGCCTGGAATACTGCTGATCTGGTCAGAATGCTCATCCTCATCTGCTGCTTAGACCATTTTTATTACTTCTTGAAATCTTTTTCTTGCTGTCTTACTTCTATATAAATTCCTCACACTTGCATATCCATCCTCCTTTCTCACTCTCTAATTTTGCTTCTTTTACTGCATTTTTCTCTCTTTGAATCTGTTACAATTGCTCTTTACGTTTCACTACACCATCCTGATGCAGTATATCTTGCTCCAAACCTGTTCTTAAAAAAAGACTAGATTCACCTCCAGACTGACCCACTTTCTACTTACTTGTATTTATGTGTACACCCCAAATACTTTGTGCAACATGAATAAAATAATAATAATTATTGTAATGAATACGGTTGATATGGACAAGGAGATACATTTCCTTCACTTACTTGTCTATTCCATAAATGCGAGTGACTGCAATATTCTCTAAAATTACCACAATAAGCAGGGGCAGAGTAGCTGAATAGTCATCAAACATCGTCACAAAATAATTTCCAGAGCGCTGCACAAAAATCAGGCCAATAAAAAATGCCACCAAGCAGCAGATGACTGGAATAAAGGACAGAAATGGGAGCTGTAAGTATAACAAATTTCCATAGACAAAGAGGAAATAAAGACAGTTCAAAACAGCAAAGATGTAAAATGCATTATTTCACATAATCAAAGCTGATAACACTTTCCTTTCTGGAGGGGTCTCAATTTCAAGAATATTAGGAATCCTACCTATTCCCTACATAACACAGAAGTTATGAAATTAGAATTATTGGAATTGCCACATTACAGCAGTCCTGACTAAACAGCAGAGATTAATCAAGTGACTGTTTCTCATTAAACATTCAACCTAATGTGAATGCAAGGCTAAAATAAACAGAACAGGCAAGCTAAACATCATAAATGATGTTATCTGGTCACTACATAACTATTTTGGAATTTAGAAGTGAAAAGAACCAAAGTTTCAGACTATGATTCTAAAATATAAAAAGGCTGAATAGGCTTCCCCTAGATCATTCAAAGCAGGAACTTCATTATAATCTGTCTAAATGTATTTGTGCACTAAGCAACAAAATTTCTGTCCCTTCTTTTGTTGAGGGACAACCCAAAATATATTTCTTGAATGCTTGATCCTGCATAATGAATCTCGATATAATTTTTTCCTAATAACCTAATCAAGAATAGGACGGAATGTTTAAGTAGCCATACAATAAGCCAAGTTTCAATAAATTGTGAAATCAATTGTATGCTGAGCACCAGTAAGATTGATTCTTCCACTTGAAGAGCCCTTTTTGTCCCCCACTGAGAACTTAGGCTAATGATACACCTAAGCAGTCTAAAATCAGGTGAAATGAATCTGAGCTAAAGTATAAAATATCCTTACAGAATATACCCATTTTTTCAACCTTGTAGTAACTATTGTTATAATGACCTTCAGAGAGTAGAAATTTAGAATCAAAGAGATCATTACAGATCAATGTGAACACCTAACACAAGGTGACAAAACCAGAAGAACACAGGTAAAATCTCCCCAGACTGAGTCTCATTAACCATAGTTTTATTACTGACCCTGAGAAAAAGAATTAGACCATCAGAACCATGTGTATGTGAATTTAGAAATCCTTGTTATTCTTGTTCTCCCATTGTGCCTTACCATTACACCCCAAAAATATGTATCTTTAGTTGTAAACTAAGGCTCTGGTAGATATACTCATCATAACTCAGCACATACACAAGCAAACTCCAATTTGGAAATAACTGAACTCCACTCAGTTTGAAATTGAATTTCTCAAATGGGACTGAACTGGAACCATGGTGCAAAAAGTTGCAAATGTGTTCACACTTCTGCAATAATTGAAGATTTGTGGTTTCTAAGCACAAACTCTAGTGCAGGCATAATCCTTCTTAAATCCCACTGACACCACATGAAGTATAACACAGGCATTTCAATTTTGTAAGTTAATTATAAGTTGTAATCCTTTGAGTACAACTGAGTTTAGCAAAAATCATGCATGCATAACACTCAAAAAAATTACCAGAGAAAGGCAGTTCTTGATTATTCCTTTATCTTAATAGGTTTTTTTGTCAAATGCAATAACAAGGAATTACTGTAAAATGCTCCATTACTCCAGAGTAATGACTATATATCAAGGTATTTGCATATATACTTAGGGAAAACAGCTAATTTCTAAATGTCACACTGGTTATTCAGTAAGAATTTAAAAGCTAATTTAAAAATAAAAAACAAAAAAAAACCCTGAGTGAAAAATCAGTTGATTGATCTTTATTGAGAATTTTATTCTTGAATCTAGCAAAGTTAAATATTACTTATTATCTAAGGACTCGGCAGTCAGGAAAGACCAGTGCTCTGCTGCATCGGGGGTTAACTCTTAGAAAATATATTATTTGGCTGGACGGGGTGCACCCAAGGGAGCTGGCAGAGGTGCTCATCAAGCCCCTTTCCTTCATCTATCAGCTGTCCTGGATGACTGGGGAAGTTCCAGTTGACTGGAGGTTGGCAAATGTGACACCTATTTACAAGAAGGGCCGGAGGGAGGATCTGGGGAACTATAGGCCTGTCAGTCTGACCTTGGTGCCAGGTAAGGTCATGGAGCAAATCATCTCGAGTGCCATCATGTGGCATATACAGGACAACCAGATGATGAGGCCCACTCAGCATGGGTTTATGAAGAGCAGATCCTGCTTGATTAACCTGATCTCCTTCTTTGACAAGATGACCTAATTAGTGGATGAGTGAAAGGCTGTGGATATAGTGTACCTGGAGTTTAGTAAAGCCTTTGACACCGTTTCCCACAGCATTCTTCTGGAGAAACTGGCTGCCCATGGCCTAGATAGCCATACTCTTTTGCTGGGTAAAAAACTGGCTGGATGGCCGGGCCCAAAAGGTGGTGGTGAATGGAGTTAAATGTGGTTGGTGGCTGGTCACAAGTGGTGTTCCCCAGGGCTCAGTACTGGGGCCAGTTCTTTATCAGTGATCTGGACAAGGGCATTGAGTGCACCCACAGCAAGTTTGCAGATCACACCAAATTGGGCAGGAGTGTTGATCTGCTTGAGGGTAGGAAGGCTTTGCAGAGGGATCTGAACAGGCTGGATCGATGGGCTGCAGCAATGTGTATGAGGTTCAAAAAGGCCAAGTGCCAGGTCCTGCATTTGGGTCACAACAACCTCATGCAATGCTACAGGCTTGGGGAAGAGTGGCTGGAAAGCTGCCTCACAGAGAGGGATCTGGAGGTGCTGGTCGACAGCTGACTGAGTATGAGCCACCTCTCTGCACAGGTGACCAGGCATACCGGCTTGTATCAGAAATAGTGTGGCTAGAAGGACCAGGGAAAGTCACCCTTCCCCTGTACTAGGCATTGGTGAGGCCACACCTTGAATACGGTGTTCAGTTTTGGGCCCCTCACTACAAGAAGGACATTGAGGTGCTAGAGCATGTCCAGAGAAGGACAATGAAGCTGGTGAAGGGTCTGGAGCACAAGTCTTATGAGGAGCGGCTGAGGAAACTGGGGTTGTTTAGCCTGGAGAAAAGGAGGCTCAGGGGAGACCTTATTGGTCTCTACAACTACCTGAAAGGAAGTTGTACTGAGGTGGGTGTTGGTCCCTCAAGTTGTGCCAGGGGAGGTTTAGATTGGATATTAGGAGAAATTTCTTCACTGAAATGGTTATCAGGCACTGCAACAGGTTGCCCTGGGAAGTGGCCAAGTCACCGTTCTTGGAGGTATTTAAAAGACAGGTAGATGAGATGCTTAGACACATGGTTTAGTAGTGGGCAGGTACGGTTGGACTCAATGATCTTAAGGGTCTTTTCCAACCAAATGATTCCATGATTCTGTTATTTCCTTCACAGCTGTATTTTTTATTTTCTATCCCTCCTGTCACAGGTATATGAAATCTGAATTTGTGTCCCTTGCAGCTGTCCTGAAGATTTTCAGAAACATAACTTTCACATTTTCTGCTGATGTTCTATCTCAAAAAGAGAAACTGCCACAAGACAATAAGAACTGCATGAACAGGCTACACCTCACATAATTTAGGCATTTAAAAAAAACCTAACCAACAGACATCTTGTGTAAGACCCTTTCTGCATTCAACAGGGAAAAATACGTCCCTCTAGAGAGTAACTGTATGATCTTTAACATAATGAACATTTAATCATAAATTAAGATTTCACTGGCCTACTTAGAAATTATTTGTAGTAATTTGCAATGTATTTTCATTCTTTCCTTTTGCTTTTTCCGTGATCTGTGACACAGACTGGAATGGAAAGTGTTCTGGAAGAGGTCAGAAGGACTGACCATACAGAAACTTGTAACAGAAATCCACCATTAAATTTTAAAGCTCTAGGATCTTCCTGCTCTTGTAACATTCAGGAAAAGGTTTTACTTGCAGATCTTAACGTGCCTGTGCATGGAAGTGCAGCCTGGAATACAGCGACTTACAGCTCTGTAAAAGTCAGCACTGAAAACTTTCATGTCAAGAAAACAAGACTTCATACTCTCAAAAAAAATTTTTAGCTTACTGCTCTAGTGAGAAAAGAAAGTCTGTGCAACTTACCAGTAAGAATTTCCTTCCTGACTTTGAAGGTATCGACAATGGGTGTGATGATGCCCTCAATGGTTCCAAACATACTTCCAAGTCCCAAATTTACCAACATGAGGAAGAACATGACTGACCAGAAGGGAGAAGCAGGGAAGTGGGTCATTGCTTCTGTAAAGGCAATAAAAGCTAAACCAGTTCCCTGAACCGCCTGCCATTGAGAAAAAATCCACAGGTTATTATTCATGGACAGTATTTTTTTTTCTAGCGTGACAGTCTGACTTCATGTTCATGCAGTGTCATTGATTAAATCTTGAAGCTAGACTTGGAAGCTACTATCTAACATGCGATTCTTCCAAACCTGCAAACTTAGTATTTACTGAAACACTGGATTTGGCTGAGAATCTGTAAGCTGCTTGATATTAACAACACACTTCTTACTCTCTTTCATTGATAATTTTGCATGAGAGCTATTATACTGGACTGCTACAAAATATACTCTGTTCTCTCCAGCAAGTATATAAGGACTTCATTTCTATACCTATTTGTTTCAAATTTAATAGTATAGAAATAGTATAGAAACTTTTGATGTCCAAATCACCAATTTGACATTTTAGCTTCAGATACTGGTGCAACTACATAGAGGTCAGTGTTTAAAACCGGAAGTCCCTCTGAAAAAGCTAGAAAAATCTCTCTTCTTTTCCAGATCTGGTTTACTGTAAAGATTTCAAACCAGGATGATATTCATTAATCAATTATATAATAAGTAAAGAATAAGTTTATCTTAACATAGAAGAAACCAGTTTGAGATGTTGAATAGGTACACCTCTGTTTAGTCTTTGGAAAAATCCTCATGCTCAACTCTTCTAAAAACCAGAACTTTAAAGCCTCGTGAGGAGAGCAATATAATTATCAGAATAGTAAAGACTATATTAAGACATTGGACCCAAAAGTCCTCATGTGAGCTGGGACGCGACCCTGCACAGAACCATGTTTTCATATGGACCTCTAGAAGTGCACTGCTCATAGGTACCCTGTACTGATACTCTGTGTAAGTATACTTCATGGTTCATTTCAGGCTTAGAAATAATAATTTCTTCATAATCTCTGTATTTAAGACTTACTTATTACTCTCACCTTGTTAAGTTCATCTTCAATTTGACAAGATTTCAGACCGAGAGAATCAAACTCTTCTTCTTTAACTTTCTGAATAATGTCATAAACTAAATTGTAATCTTCTGCTGTAATGCTTGAAAAATTGATATGATGTGGGATCATATCCTGGCTCAGATTGCCTATTTTCAAAAGTTTTAAAATCTTCTCTGAATTTCTGCAAAACACAATAAAACAAAGAAATCAAACTCAATGATCTGTGTTAATTCATAAATGAAATATACCATAAAAATAATAAAAAAAAAGAAATGGATATTCATACTGGATAACCACATTTTTCATTTATGATATTTGCTTTGAAACCCAGCACTGCAAACACCACCAAAGTTGCCAGCACAGAAGTGAAAAAATTGATGAAGGACACCAGTACAGCATCAAAATGGCAGTTGTTGTCTCTCTTGTTGTAGCTTGAAAAGGCAATGACTCCACCAAATCCAAGCCCTAAGGCAAAGAACACCTGAGTAGCAGCTTCTCTCCAGACCTTGGGCTCCAGCATTATTTCAAGCTGTTTGAAATTAGATATAATATATGTCAGCTATAAAATGCATTTCTATTATATGAAAAGACAACAGAAAAAAAAACAGGAAGACAACCTACATCACAAAATGCTAATACTCCACTACAACTATATTTTCATTATGATACAATGAAAGCTGAATGTGATACCTAAAGCTGACCAAACTTATCAGCCAGAACTTCTATTGACTTTATATGATACAATCCTTAAAGAGAAACAGAGTATGTTCCAAACAATGAGACACTACTGGAGCTATATGATTATTGAGAGAACATCCTTTTATATTTTTTTACAGTATTTACCGTCTTTTTTTTTTTACAGTACGTGTATTATTAGTTGTTAGAATTAAGATTTATTTGGGGATGATCAACGCTCTTATAAATGCAGTAGGTACGTTGAAAGTTGTTTTGTTGTTACTTTTCCAAAAAAAAGCGACCATGAGATACACATGCTTATATGGAATTCTACTACATGCAAATATGTAAAGCAAAATGCAACATATTAAATAAATGCTGGCCACCACAATCTGTATAGTCCACGAGTCAATCTCCCTTAAGCTAGATGCCTCGAACTTACCCTAAGTTAAATGGGTCATGTATTTGAGGGACAACTAAGCCTTTTATCAAAGAATTGAACTATATTGCTCTTTCAGATGACCATAAATCAAGAAAAATCTTTCTTAAAGTTATGAGTCATCATCTGTCTATCTCAGATCCTTCTAGATACTGAATCATAAAAAAGAAGTACATGTGAAATTTAAACACCAGATTTTCCCAAGTTGATTCATGGCCTCCATTCATATAACAGTGAAAGACCTTACTCCTGTCAATGTGTTGGGTTTTTTTTCTGGTTTTTGTTTTTTAAACCCTAGGCTTATCGAAAACAGTAAAACTAAAAAGCATCAGCATAGATGCCAGCAGCAGAAAACTGTCTTATTCTGAGGGAAAAAAAAAAGAAGTCTGCTATAGTTATGATAACATTTTGAAAAATTTTGCGGTTTCCCATATAGGTATAATATTGATTATAGGTACATAGCACATACCTTCTTTATTCTTTTACCTATAGATAAAATACAACTTATTTGAAAAAAAGTTTTTTATGACAATAAACTTGTTCCTGACTTACAATTTTTGCTATAATTACAATGCACCAGTAGCTACTGCACATAGTTCAAGCTGCCTGTATCCCACAGTCATGCTAGAGCTTTTCCACTAGAGGGAGCTTGAGGAATAGGCTTAATTTTACCAAAACTGAAAATGGTTTAAGGATCAAAACACTTCCTGCTTTCGGCAATATATGGTTTGTTATCATCAAAGGTAGTACGTTCTCAGATACACAGTGCCTAGCATTTCAAAATAAACTTGTAATTTATTTGCTATTATAAGAGATTTTCTGTGAAATTTTGGGGGCTCTGTATTTAAGCTTCACACAGTCCTGCAGTTTCACTGTAGTAGTTGACTTCAGTGAGCTTTTCATACACCTTTCTTTAGGTTTTTCATTAAGATTATTATTTAGAATTTCTGCTTTGCTCATCAACCACATCAAAGAAAGAAATCCTCCCCTTCTTCATTAGCCCTGTGCTCTCACACCTGCACCAATGTGTGCCAGTCCTCTGCTGTGCTGACGTAACTCGGATTCTGTGGGAGTGTGTTGTGAGCGTCTGTGGTCAAAATGGGGTTGGTTTGCTTTACTAATCGAGGCTGAAAAGATGTTTCTCCTTTCCCCCTCATGTCTATCTACCTGGATTATTTTCAGCCTAGATCAGTTTAGCAATTCTTTTTACAGTCTGCCAGCCCAAATAAATTGTTGGCACAATGGAGCAAGTAGAAACAACAACAGGAGGGCGAGTCTGAATTCCTTCAGGTAATTTCACACAAACCTACAGTCCAAATTAGTGCTCAAGTACAGAAACAATCAGACATTATAATGAAAATAATTTTGAAAGCTTATATTCACATATGCTGCATGTGACACATAGGTCTTCTAACCTCAAATTTAAGCCACGAGTTAAGTTTTGAGATACAGAACTGGAAACCGATGGAAGAAATTAAAACCAATTTTTCTTTCAAGATTGTTTATCTGAACACTTGAAGCAACTGTATGATTAAGTTAGTTAAGTTACTATGAAGTAAGCATCTACTGCAACTTATTTTAGGTCTAGCTCATGAAAGATGAAATAGTGAAGAGGTGTTGGTATTCAAGGGGTGTGTCAGTGTTTAACTTTCCCTCAGTGCCTAGCGGTACTTCTCTGGTTAAAGAAAGGATTAATACTGTGGTTGAGAAACCAAGTTATAACTTCGAGGCCTGTACTCCACCTGTGCATCAGACTTCCTCTACATCAATAAGCACTGCATTTCTCCATTCCTCAGATTTCCCAAATTTGCCTGAGCAGCCTGCAAGTTCCTGCAGAACCACAACTCTAAGGCGGTGACAGTGAGTGAAGTGGAGCACAATTGTGTATCACAATGCAAGAAATAACAACGTGACAGCTAACAAAGGTAATTTTTATAGGATGACAGTTCTCCACAGACTCAAAACACCCGGAATCAAAACAACTGACAAGTCCCCTGTCATCTGGCATTAGCCACTATGTGCATTGATTTTCATGATCTTACTATTTAGCTTTCATTTTTGAAACATCAGTCCTGTTCTCTCCACTGTATTCCAAAATGCACGTGTTGGAAAGTCCATTTCATAATACAGTAATACAACAGGAAGCCCAGCACTATGCATTCCTCAGCAAGTATGGCTCTGAATACTCAAACATGCTATTCCTGTAGCATAGATACAGTTACAAGCATTTGAGATGGGTGTGGGTAGAATTTAGATCTTCAGGCTAAACCATGATTTGTAACGTCCCTTCTCACCTCCACAGTTTAGATTCTAAAGGTCTGTAAGACACATTCCCAGTAAAAATGTTGACAGTAAAAAATGTATGCTTATACCTGCTGCTATCTTGGCATGACAACCATGTGGAACACGGTAAGGAAAGCTGAGTGGTGAGTACTTACACTACTTTTACAAGATGAGCAGAGCATTAAAGACAGGTGTCCTGCACTTTTGGGCTACTATGCAAACAACACTGAACAACTACTATGCAAAACCCACTATTACTAAAAAGGGACAATTTTGTCCTCTTTCAAAAGGGACAAGTTAATTATCTAAGTCTATGACAGGGTCCAAGGTAAGGCATTTCACTGTGACATCCCAGGACTAGGCATTTCAGTCCTAGAGAATGGTTAAGATTTAAACTTCATTTCTCTTTTCAGTATTTGGAGCTTTCTAACCATCCTAAATCCTGGAAATAACACTTTCAGTTGCTTAGCTTTCTAAAGGCATCTAACTGTGAACCTGTCACCTAAGGGAGGTAACTCTACAGAGACCCTTGGAACACTTACAGCCTTTGGACCTTAGGGCTTGGTATTGTGCCACTAAGGTCAACAACAATTTTGCAATTTAACCAAACAGGAAAACGGTCAAATGTTCTATGAAGACAATAAGCTTAAATGAGAGCATTCATACATGATCAAATTGCCACTGCAACTTTAATACACTGCCAACAGAAATTAAGCGCATACCTTAGGTGTGAACATGTGACGAATTCCATCCACTGACCCATTAAGGAGCAGTCCTCTGATCAGAAAGCATAAAAGTACCACATAAGGAAAAAGGGAACTAAAGTACATGATCTGAAAAACATTAGAAAGAAATTTAACATGACATCCACAGACTTCATTTTCAATGGCTTCATTTGTTACTTAGTACATGACTGAATTGATAATGATACACTCTTAAGGAATAGGCAGAACACTTTCCATTCCCCTTGTCTCTGCAGAAGAAAGCAAAATCACATGACTGTAAAATAAATTCTGTACTGTATTAGAACAATAGGGTTGCCATTGTGTTGACTAAACTGATAGCGAACTGCTGAGCTTCCAGGGAAATTCAGTATGAATTCAGTGAGATGATGACGAGAAGCACAGAAGTCTACTGTTTTAGAAATGCTTCACTTTACAAACACACTTTGATTCAAGTACATAGCATGGTAAAGCTATGCAGCATGAACAGAACCTCGTTCTGTCTTTGGAAAGAGAGAAGATAGAGTCAGTAGAAAGTATATAACCGATGGATTCAAACCACTAAGTAATTCTTACTGCCAAAACAGAAGAAAAGCTGGAGATACTCTCTGATCTACAGAAATTATTTAAGATCTAGCAGGTTTGAACCATAAAAACTAGAAAGCAGTATTGCACTGACTACTGGACAAACAAAAAGCCATGGGCTTGTCAGAATCGTGAAGCACAATGCTGCACAGCTCTCCATGCCAAAACACCATGCTTTTGCTAATGCATCGGTGAAGCCCAACACTTTGGGGCTTCTGTATCACTTAACCACTTGTGCAACAGAACACCTTTCTGACACACCCATTGACTCATCTAATACAAAGCATAAATAAAAAGTTAGTAGTAAAGTACAATCTTTCATTTTCCATCATGAATGAAAACAAATCTATTCTGTGCTTTAAAGTTTAGTAAAATGATTCTCTCGCTAAACTTGCTAGTTGTTTCTTTAATGGAAATACACGAAGGAGGTCACAGAAATTTCCACCTCACTGCCAAATTCTTTAATGGTAAAGATTTTTGCTATTAGAACAAACTATTTTTCATCTGAAAGTCTCATTGAGATCAACAGAGCTTGTAGATCATTCACTAGCCAATCCAGCCAGTGACATGGAAAGGAAAGAAGACAGGGTGATGGACTCTCATGCCCAGGGATTGGTAGCCATTAGTCAAAAGAAACAATCCAGAATCCTGAAAAGCAGCTGTGTTAATGACAAAAGCATGGATACCAATGACAGTAACAAACAAAAATGCCAAGGAATTTTGAGGACCTGAGTGCACTGCAATCATACTGTGAGTATACATGGAAACCCAATTCCTTAGACATTCAGAAACACGCGGACTTACGCTGTGTTAACAATAAAACAAAGCTGAGGTGCAGTTAACTTGCAACAGTTATGGTGATGAGAACAGAAATTATTCTCTTTAGATCTCCACTCCCACTAAATTACTACAATTCCCACTAGAATTACCACAATTTTAATGCTTAACTACAAGCATTCCTCTACTTGAGATTATACAAATACTGGGGTGAGTCACAGCTTCTAACCTGCTCCTACAGATTTCATGAGAGGGTGTGGTGAACAAAAATGTCATGAAATGTTTCAAAGCAAAACACCGTGATTTAGGTAAACAGTATACTCACTTTGCCTGAAGACTGAATGCCTTTGATCATGGCTAGGCATACCATGACCCAGGCAGCCAGCAAGCAGATAGTCATCTTCCAATTTAAACCTCCGCTCTCTGACAGAGAGCTGGAAATATCCAGTGCTTCTCTGTACCAGTAATAAGTGGTTGCAGAACTTTTTTCACACTCTGGCTCCACAACTGTCAAGAGATGTTAGCAGGCAAAGAATGGGTTCAAGACAGAATTATTTTCCCAACACTTCATAACAATGTTCTACCAATTCCCAATATTCCCAATTGCATCGTTGTCATTTACTGAGAAACTAAACTCACAAAGAGTCTTAAGACATTCGCTAAAAGTGACTGCTATTAGTATAAGGTTCTGGAAAAATCTTTGTAAAACAACTTCTTCAGATAATGTATTCCTCTGCATACGGTCAATCCAAGTCCTAGGCAAAATTTAATTTTCACTGTAGTACTAAACAGGGGGCAGGTCTAGATGAAGGCGTACATCTCATTATCACACGTGCGATGAGATTACCTACATATGATAGTGACTTACATAATATGAGAAGTATCTCCTGAAATTGAACACTGATTTATATTAAATTTGAAAATATATGGAAAACAAAATCTCAGTTGTGCCTGCTTCGATGTGACACTCAAATCAATAGGCACTCAATTACTATTAGAAATGATAAAATAATAACATAACGGTACCAGAGTGATGAGAAAAGGAAAAAAAGGCTCCTACACAGCTATGTTAAATGAAAGTTGCTATGTGTATTCCAGAAGTGATTTTTTGATTACACTGTAATTCTGCTTTACTCATGTTAGTGAACAGTTTAAGAAGTTGTATATATCTAGACATATAACACATATAAATAGGAAGAATTCTTCAAAGAAAACATGCACTTAACTTTTTTATAAATTACTTACATCTGACAATCAATCGTATCTCTAAGCTAGGTCCTGAGTAAAGGTTAATTAATGAAAAGGGAAAAATACACTAATTTTAATTAATTAATTAAATACACTAATTTTAAGAAACCTAACACAGAAGTCAGATCTTCACTGAAATAAACTATCAAAAATGATGTATCAAATACAATACTTCTCTGTGTTTAAGCTTAGTTCAGATGACCTCCGCTAAAGTTAGGCTGATACACTGTATCTTAATATTTAGGCAGGATAAGAATATGTAAACAGACAAACACTGTGTCTCAATTAACGGACAATAGCTTGGGGAATACAGTCAGTTTGCCTGTGTGCCAACACTCACAAACACTGATTATTTTAAACAACTGAAGCAAGCAACTCTGGCAAAGACACTACAGAAGCATTGTGCAACTTTTCAAATGTCCCCGGTTATGTTCTTTTTTAAAGGAGTAAGAAAACACAAAAGTTAATTAAAGAAAACTTAAGATCTGAAATAAAAAGAAATGAAAAGAAGTATTTCATATTTCAAGAGCAAGGATAATGCAAAGTGCGTAACTTTTATTAGATAACCAAAACCAAGGGATAAGGAACTTTTAATGCTGTTGTATAATGTCCATTTGAGACCATCTCATTATAGCAGCAAACCAATGACCAATTATCTAATTTCTACTGGTTTACAAAGCAAACAATGCTTTTATCACATGCATTTCATTGATGTTTACAGTCTTCCATTTTCTGCTTTGTTAGTAATGCAACACTTTTTGCTTTGTCACCAGGAAGTATCCTACTAATTGAAATGTAGAAATATCTGTCTTCTACCTTTGTTTTTCAACAAAGCAGCATAAAAACCAGTATCAAAATCAGAAAAAAAGTAATCAGATTTTTTTATGCAACACACTAAATATTACTCTCCTAATTCCATTACTCTTTAAAATGCTGTTGACAGTGATGTTCCTTTCCAAATATAGTATATATTAGATTAGGTTTCTTTATTGTATTTTTTCCATGTAATGTGACACCTTACTAAGATGCAAAACCAGCTTTGCATACAACACTTTTTACCACAAGTATCTCTTTGAATTGTATTTTTTCTCCTTTATAATGGAAAATCTCAATTTTTAATATGATTTTTAAGAACATTAATATAGACTTACAGGTATGAGATGTATTTTTAACTAAAGGACACTGGTCCCACGGTAATGGGTGCTGGAAAGACTGGGAAAAGTAAAACAGACTCCATCCAATAATGACATTGTAGTACAGGGCGACAAAGAAACATACCTACATTAAAAAAAATAGAGAAGAGATACATTTATTCATTACATTTGTAAATTAAAAAAAAAATCCCTACTGAACTTCTGCATATTTCTCCATATCAGCCACTGAATCTAATTTTAATTAGAATAAGGCACAACTGAACTACTTGCCCCATTAAAGTACCTGGCATTTTCTAAATTTTCCCTTTTTTCTGTATTTATCGTGTAACACCTATTTTTTACAGGCTTTTTTTCTACAGAAGACTACTCTGTTCCCTAGTTCCTAATTTCAGAAGAATCACAAAATACAAGTTGACTGGTTTTACAGACACTTCCATGTCAACATTTTTTAATGTACTAATTTCATATCTTCCAAAATACTGTAAACTGACCTTGAAGTCCAGCTACAAACCAGTGGCCTTTTCCTGTAGCAAAACACAAAGTCTAAATTGTACACACTGAAAGCAAATCACACCATTAATGTGAAAAACTTACTACACAGCTTGCAAATCCAATTCCTCCAAGCTTAGGGCTGATGTAATTCCACACACCAATACTCCCTCGGCGGATCCTCTGGCCCACGGCAAGCTCCAAGAAAAACAGTGGAATCCCTATTATCAGTAGCAAGATTAAGTATGGCACAAGATAGGCACCTATGAAAGGAACAAAGTATAAATCAGAGGGAGAAGAGTCAGAACTGGACACAACAAATGTGAAACCTCCTAACAGCTTCAAGTTGGAATTCGTGTCAATTCACTGCAAAGCTTTTTTGATCACATGCAAAGAGCAATTTTACCTGAATCTTAGCCATACATCTTGTAAGATATGAAAAGCCCAGAAACATCGAATTTCTAAAGCACTGTAACATTTTGAGGCAAAACTTACTGAAAGTGAGTTATTATCTAATCTAGCTGGTCACTTGTGTGAAATTTTGGGTATTTGATCAAACTTTTTAGAAATATAGTGATGCAATCAGGAGCTGAATCAACATTACTTAAAAAAACTCTACACCTTGACTTGTATCAGAGCAGCAAAACTGAATTTATAAAGGAAATACAGAAAATACTGTGCGTACAACATTCTGAATTTTATCCAGTCTTAAGCCGTTTCAGCAGGCCTTACTGTTGATTTCTCCATGTGCACCTCAGATGCTCAGAAAGGGGATTTCACAATGTAGAAAATAATGATTATATCCAGCTAAGCAAGAAAACTGTATCAGTCCACTTCTATCAGGCTCCAGACAGAGACTAGAGACATGAGGTGGAAATGAAATGGAGTATTTTAGATCCAGATCTTGCAGGATTCACAAACTCTTCTTAAAGATATATTTGAAAATGCAACTTTTAGACATGTATGTGTAAAACAATTCCTTTTTTTAAGGCCTTGTTCTGAGGAAGAGGTCATATACTACTCTAACTTCAGGATGTATCTCTATTTATTTCAGTGAAATTAATTGCAAGCAAATACATCCATACACCGAGTGCACTGACAAGTTCAGTGCCTAACTTCTTCTTTGCTGTTGAAGAGTATTTAGTACTAGAGTTAACAAAACATTTAGGCATCAGTAATTAGCAATGTGGCACCTAATTTTCAAATGCGTGGCTCTTATGCTGCAATAGAAAGTACTGTGCTGGCCACCTAATTCAAAGGGCTTAGAACTTTTGACTGTAATCACTGTAAGGCTAAAGAAAAATGCTTGAGAGATGCAGACTGCAGCACGTTGGAGCAAGCTACAAAGCAAAGATCTAAAGCCCTCAGAAGCTTAGACTAAGAGCTATTAAGTTGTCTAATCAGTCTATTCATCTCTCTGATGAGAAGGAAGCTGAGCAAAGTTCAGAAACCAATTTGGGATTTATCCTCAACTCCAGCTAAGTCCTACTTTAAGTTTCTTCACCCAGTGTCAACTTTCCAGGGCTTTTTAGGAGTCTATCAAAATCTACTGTCATTTGCATATACTTAGTAGGTAGCTTATCTCATGAAATATAGTTTTACAAAAGCTAAACTTTCCTAAGATGTGCAGGAGGCCTCAGATTTTCTGGTATTATCTACTCCTATTCAGGTCCACTTGCTATTTTGCTTTTCATGAAGTACGCACAAATTGGGTATCACCTTCCATTATAAAGATCTTAGATTCTAAGCATGGAGTAACTACAGTCATGAGTCTAAGAAAAGTAAGAAAAGAGACAGAAGAAAGAAAATCTGAGAAAAAACTACCGGTGGACCAGACAAATAATATTGACCTTCTTTACCTCACAGCCTACAGGCTATTGCTAGCTATTGTTAGCTCTTTGTGTTTTATTTTTGTGACATGATAATATGATATGCAATGATATTTTCTGAGCAGCATTTGGTCAAAACCTATGCCAGTATCTGAACAATGTACTGGGTTTGAAGTTATAATACTCCCTCACATAGCCACACATCATGGTCTATCTAACCGTTTCAGCACAGTATAGACTTAAGTATTATTTCTACTGAGCAGCTACATTCCCCATCAGTACTTTGGTGTCTCTAGTGGTTCATCTTGTACGAGCACGCAACAGAAAGAAGTATGAAAAGAGAGACAACAGAGACAGAAGGAAATAAACATGAGGAAAACTGAGGAATGGAGCAACAACCACATTCCAAAATAAGGGTGACTATCTGTCTTAAGAATAGAGAAGACAAATAATACCATTAAACACCCTTGATTTATCATCAACATTCTCTCAAAATTTCTGCGGGACAGAAGTATACTGTTAATTCATGCCACAAATGAGAAGCTATGGCATCACTATCTTTAAAAAATTGGTCATAAAATTAATTGAAAACCAACAGTATGGATGTAGTTTTTTAAATAGTATAACACTAGTGTAAATGATACCTGAGGTCTTAATTAGACAGGTGTTGCATAGCTGAGCAGAGACAAGCCTAAACAGCTCAAAAAAACTCGGGCCTAAGTGACTTACCCCGTATCCCACTGGATGACTGTACTAGAGCAGGAACTGAACCCAGCTCTTCAGTGTCCCAGTCCACAACCTTAATCACAAGGCTGCAAAGTTAAGCACATGTTTAAAGACTGGGCTGACGTGGGTGTTTTATGGTGCAGTTATCAATGTAAGTTGCAAGATTTATCAGTTAGATTCAACTATATGAGTTAAATAAATGTGGTGTTAAATCCACATTACATTATACATGACACAACTCTGTAACTCAGTGTAGGTAGCCAGCAGACTTCATCTCTATGCTGCAGGGCTTGTGCAGAGCACCTGAAGTGCTGGTCTGCTGACCATTCAAACCTGCTGAGCTCCCTTCCAATCTTGTGCTCCTCCCCAAAAGAAGGACATAATGGAAAATAGGGCACATACGAGTTTCAGTGTGATACAGTTTGGACATAGCTGGATTATACAACTGTATATCACAGCTGCAAAGGGCTTCTGTGCCCTATGGTCAACATGAAACCACAGTATCTCTGCACAGGTATTTTGTTTCAGCCTTCCCCTGAAGCTAAACATACTTCAAAGAACTGTAAGACATCTTCGCTTCATCATAAACCAGAATCATTATGATAACAGCTCAGCCTCTTATTTGCCAGTGCATGAACACATGGGTCCTTGGAGTTACAATATTGAATAAGGATCATTTTTATTTTAATTAGAACAATAAACTATACATGCTGGCCTTGAACAGCATCCTACAATTAGTTACATTATCTGCTAGGCCTGCCAGCTAAGCAACCTTCTGGATATTACAATTGTGTGTGGTTCAGCATCCCCAGGCCTCCTTTCTACATTTTCAAAATTGTTCTACTATAAAGTCATTTTTTTGCATATTTTGGTCTTAAACACTGGCTTTCATATTAAAAAACTCATCTCAACTTCATAAGGAAAAAAAAAATCTAAAAAAATATACCACACTCTTCTTCACTAGAATGAATGACAAAGATACAAAAGATCTCAGGAATGGGTGAATGTTAATACCGTGCACAGCACTGCTTTGATTTCTTAGGTTTTTTATTTAACCACGCACCATAATGGAATAACTGGTAAATTGTCTCTCTTGATATTACAATATGTACTACATTTGGCAACATTATCGATAGAAATGGAATATTAACATCGGTTTTGATTTAAGTTGTTAGAAATGCTCAGGTGGAAAAAAAGAACATAAAATGACATGATTCATAGTGATTAAGGAGCTGGAAAACAATTTCAGAAGCAATAATGCAAGACGACATAACTATTACTATCTTGATACTACAGAAAAACTTTTCTCCTAGCCACTCTTGATGTCACCTGAAAAATCTAGTAACTTTCGTGTCTCGTGCCTGATTTGATTCTTATTCAATGAAGGTGAGCTTTACCACTGTCTTGAGGAGACATCCCAGTTCTTATAGCTCACTGGGCATTTAATAATAGAAAGCTAGTGAGAAGCTGATGTTCAGATGAAGATCAACTTATTTTCAATGCCAAATGTTAGAATTTTCAAAGTTATGACACGTGGGCAACAAAATACTGGAAGTTTACAGTCTACTAAGCTCCTATAAGTGAAATTATTTACTATTACAAAATACAAACTGCTTTTATGATGAAAACTCTGGTAAAAGGTTTTGTGTTTTACCTGCAGGTTTCCAGTCTATCCTACTGATAGGATAGTCTTCCTGTCACTAGTCTTTCACAGTTTAAGTATGTTCAGGTGCGCCTATTTACAGATTTGTGCTTAAAGGATGAAAATCCCTTTAGCCAATAATCTTCAGTGAAGAATTACGCTTGCAAAATAAAAAGAGGACATTTTCAGCACACTGAAGTACAACTAAATTTCAAGTCTGATAATATAGTTTAAATCAGAACTCATAAAATAATATGTAAGTCATCAGTGAATTCAAGGCACTGATTATAAATTATTGATCAAAAGCTAAATAATGAAACCACTGCATCCATACTCAGTTTTGGAAAACAAGGGAATACTTGCTTTGCTCCCATTCTGCTTGTATTAGACAATCAGACTGCAGCTTCTAACGACTATTCAGTTGTTAACAGTTGACATACTATTTCCTCAGCACTTCTCATCAATAGCTGCTTTGCTTTTTATAAGACCACAGAACTTAACTGTTCAATCTGCTGGTATTTCAGTACAAAATCCACAGACTACTTGACTGCAAAAACTCACGATGTGACTCTACCCACGTCGATCTTTCCAAAACGTAACAGCAAGATAATCTGCTACAGATTTCCCTGTGCTGCTCACAGGTTTTAGCTGTTTATCATTGTTTACTAGTTCTTTTGACTTTTTAGGGCTCAGAGATATTAAGACGACCTTAAAAAAAAAATCAAGAAGTTAATGCTTATGAAAATGCACACAAAATCTTTGGGTGTGCAGTATTTTGTAGACTCCCAATAACACCTGTAACACTAGAAGCACCGCTTAGACAACTATGTTCAATTCTTTTAATAATAAACCTCAAATATCATTTATTCTAGTAGAACAGCTAATTTAGTTTGCTTTTGTTACTTCTAATATGTAAAAGTACCATTCTACTTCTGCTAATCCTAAGGAGAAAAGACAACCAAACAGGACAAACTTTAAATATGTCCTTTGTTGGAAAAAGGTGAAAGGTGTGCAAGCTATTCACCAGATGATAGCAATGAGCAGCAGGAAAATATAGGTCTAGTTTGTCACTACGTATTAGCCTCACGGCAAGACTGGGTAGACCTGAGCAGTTTATTTTTAAGGCTCACTATCAATCATAGGAAGCTGAGGCAGCTTTGAACCTACTGCATTGTAACATGGGTTATGAAATTCTTACATAGGAACTGTGCCTATCTGAACACACACACATATTTGTCTTCATACAGTAAAGGAGTAATGAACTGTGTAGTGTAAAAACGATAAATATAAAAAACCTTTAAAACTAAGTTAGAGCATACCCTGCTCCAGAGCAAAGCACCTTTGTGAGGCATCAAGGAAGAAACAGCTGTTAGGCTGCAAAGAGCGGAAGAGGTGCTTTAAGTGCCAGATGGGGGGACTGGGCTTTGCCTACCAGGGAGAAAGGGGACCTGTGGTGAGGACAGAGGTGAAGAAGGCAGAGATATCAAAACTTTACTGAACACCTTCAGCCCCTCATTTACAGAGCCTAAAACTCCTTTGAGCCCTCCCTTTCATCCCAAGTCAAGAAAATGAGCACCCTGGAGTGCTCTCATTCTCTTCCCAGCCTTTTTCTTTCTCTTGATACTTCCTGCATGTATTCAGTCGAGCTGAGATGGAGTTAATTTTCCCCATAGCAGCCCCCATAGAGCTGTGCTTTCTCTCGGTATGTAGAAAGGTGTTGATAACACAACAGTGTTTTGGCTACTGCTGAGCAGAGCTCACACAGCACCAAGGCTGTGTCTCCAACATTCACCCACTACCACCAGTGGACTGGGAGGGGGCAAGATTTTGGGAAGGGGCACAGCCAAGACATCTGACCCAAACTGACCAAAGGGATATTCCAGACCATATGACATCAGCTCAGAGATAAAAGCTAAGGGAAAGGAGAGGAGAGGGGGGCATTCTTTTTTTATGATGTTTTGTCTTCCGGAGCAAGTGCTATGCATACTGAAGCCCTGCCTTCCCGGGAAGTGGCTGGACATTGCCTGCTAATGGGAAGCAGAGAATAAAATCTTGTTTTCCTTTTGTTACTGTGCTTTTGCTTTAATTAAACTGCCTTTATCTTGACCCACGAGTTTTTTTTCTTTTCCATCTCATTTTCTCCCCATCTGTCCTACTGAAGAGGGGAGTGATAGAGCAGCTTGGTGGCAACGGGCATCCAGCCAAGGTCAACCCATCACACTGCATTACAGCTACATCCCAAATGTGGATCCAAGTTCGTCCCAGCTGCATACTAGCCTCTTCTCTCACCTCTCATGATGAACTTTTTTGAGGGAAAAAGCCAAGTGTGAAAGCCAGCAAAGACCTACCCAGTCTAGCTGTAACTTAGATGAGCATAAAAAATGCAAGATATTACTCTAAATATTTATGAGTTTATATTAATTAAAGCAACAGGAAAAACTGTCAAAGGATCACAAGAGGGAAAGCAAAGGTAGTTGTCTTGGTGGTACAGACCAGACCTGGAAATAGAGATTGGAAAGGTACCTATGGACGTCCAAGTAACAGTGCAGTGTAGCGATACGCAAGTTACCTTTAAAGATGGTACCGCAGATACCTCACTGAAGCAGTACAGAGTTCTGAAGTCAGGAGTGTTGGCGTACCACAGGCCAGAGCCATAAATGAACCCAATCCCTCTAGAAAAGAGGGCAGTAATCATGCAATTTTTTCTCCACAAAACCCTCTAATAATATACATCTATTTCGGCTAACTTTCCTGTGTCTTTTCAATGTTTATGTTGTTGCTTTTGTAGTTTATGTCACAGAAATTTAAAAAAAAAAAAAGACAAAACTGAAGATTACTAAATGTTTAGGATTTGCCTTGTCTTTTACTGATGGCTTTGGAACAGCTAACACAGGTTGGAAGAAACCTGTGACAGAAACCAATGAGTAACTATGGTTTACTTCTTTCTGTTTTAAACTTGGAATAGATTTATTGGTTTAGTATTTTTCAGTATATTCCCCTCTCCTGATAGTATTTGCCAGACATAAGCTGCTTAAACATAGGGAAGAAAATAAAAAATGTTTGGACAAGACTGAAGGTGGAGACCCAGCCATACATTCCCCTGAAACAGTTCTGATGAAAATCCACGAAAGGCTGTTTACCTTATACTTAGAGACTTCACGGGTATTTATAGGAAAGCTTTCTCAGCAAAAGGGTACAGAACGGTTCTGTGGGTTGCATAAAAATACTCTAATTTTACCTAGAATGAAACATATATGAAATAGTACGTGTAGCAGAAAACTGGAACTTCCTATAAAACGTATGGTTTTTTACCATGCGTTTAAACTTTCCCTTCCCTCCCTTCCTCTGTTCTTTTACACACTTGTGAGAATTATCTGTCCATCTGCACACACATATACAGGCACCAATGTACTTCTCATGCGTCAATGTTTTGTGTCACCTTCTCTACCTTGCATTATGGTTAACCTCAAAACCAAGAAAGCTTTAGCTCTAATGATCACTTGCTTTTCTCTGTTGTTCTGAAGGTTGCAATTCACTAAAATGGTGCAAAATTGTTGTTAAAAGCCAAATACATCCTAGTCTGAGTCATGTGCAGAAAACATTATATCTCCACAGACTACATTATATATCCAAGTTCCTGCAATCACAGCACAGGGGAAAACATTTAATTTCAACCTGAAATGACTCCATATTTATTTTTTCAAGTCTGATTAATGAAGAGCCATAATCCCTGAAGGTTGTGGGTTTTTTTCTAAAATGTGAAATATTAATTACTTTAATACATTTATATTTGATCTGAATTAAATTTACATTCACTGGCAGAGTAATTTTAGAAGTGCATGACGCTATGAAGTCACCAGCCTAAGGAACATACCAACTGGTCTTTTCTGTGGGTTTGAGGGAGAATCCAATGGGCTTGCAACATTAGTAACTAACTATATTAAACACAAACTTTCAAAAGGGACACAGCTACACAAAACAAACGGCTGTAATGCATTATCCTTGAGACTACATCTTGACACTATACTTCAGATGAAATGATACAGGATATAAATGTTTTAATAGCTACAGCTTTAACTATAAATCAGTTTGCTTTAAAAATTGTTCATTAACACATGTATTTGTTTTTTCAACTAGCAGTGATACATGATCTATTCTATACCGTGTCTAGTAGACTAGCTATGATTGCCATCCACAGAAAAGCTGTGGGCTTTGAGAAACTATGTTCAACATGTTTTCTCAGCATCACGGTTACAGATGAAGAAAACTTTAGATTCTACACAAAACATTAACTCAACCACTTAACTATTTCTCTCCAGAATAAAGAAGAAAAAAAAAGGAAGCTAAATGAGAGTGAAAAAAAATCTTATAACTAGGTATAAAAAAATCTTATAACTAGGTATAAAAAAATGTAGACCTTATCCTGGAGATGGAATATTTGAAAGTATAAACTCCATTTTTACTGCTTGAACTGAATAAGAGAAAACAAAGAAAGTACAAAATTGTACTCTGATTATATTCTCAGCTCATTTCTATACTCCTCCATTACATCAGTTTTACCATTCAACTTTTAAAATCCAGCATGAATAAAATGTTCCTTATTTTCTCTTCTGTAGTACAGATTCGCTTTTTGTATCACAGAAAGTGAGAGGTTTGTTTTGAATTCAGCTAAGTAATTAGCTACAATAGCATGTGCATTAATGTAGTATAGTAGGGTACAGTATAGCACAGGATAAAACTCTAATCCTGCATTAATAAAGGAAGGTCTCCAGTCTCATACTTCATACTACATTCAAGACCATAGATACACAGCTAACAAACAAAGAGCTTGATGTTCTTGTTCTAAGTGAAAGGTAACTTGTTATTTAGGAAAACAGTTAACCATATAACACCATGAAACAGATGTATTCCCTCAATGTAAATGTTATGATTGGAATTATTACCAGTAAAAAAATCCTTTTCACTCCCCTACAGTGTTTTGTTGTTCTTGCAGAAAGTAAATTATGATCAAATGGGTTAGGAGCTAAAGGCAGATAAAAAGTAAAGGTGTGAAGCTTAGTACTGCTAAATACTAAAGACTGAATACTGCTTTGCTCTTTAAAGTGGATGCAGATTTAATGCTTTGATTTATTGTCCAAGTGCTATAAAGAACACTCTAGCACAACAGCAATCAGGTCCTAAATAATGCAACCCCTCCATAAAGATGTGTTTTGCTTAACCACTAGTTTGACCACTAGTTAAGGTCATCTCAAGAACTTATCCCCCTAGACTGAGGTAATGGAATCTTACGAGAATCTGCTACTTACTTTAACAGATGTATCTCTCTAAATAAAGAGAATACACGGTTTTCCTCATAGGCTCTGGCAGAAATTGAAAGAAAAACCTGGCACACTGGAGCAGGTTTTACTGCGGATATCTCTGCTAACCTTGAAATATGAAAGGTTAGCTTCATCATTTAGCTACAACTAGCTATGACAAGACTTACCTCCACCATTTTTCTGACACAGATATGGGAATCGCCACACATTCCCCAATCCCACAGAAAATCCAACTTGTGCCAGAATATATTGAAGTTTGCTGTTCCAAGCAGGCCTTTCATCTTCTACATCTGAGCCTTCTTCAACATCTACATCTTTTTCTTCTTGATCATCAACCATAAGTTCACTCTTCTTAAAGGCATCATCTGAAGAGTCTTCATTAGAGAGAAGGTCCTTAACTGACTCAATGACCTCATCATCTAGTTCTCTTTTCACTACCTTGCTGTTCTTAGGCATTTGTAATATGAGGAAAACAGTAAAGAACTCAAATTCAGCCAAGACAGATGGACAAGCACTGAAGAAAGCTCTCCCTCTGCTTGGCCAAAAATATTGAAGAAATAGACTGAAGATGGTGCCTGATGCGTCCTTGATACCAGGGAATCAAGAGTTAAGAACTTCTGGTTTTGAACGTTTGTTCTACTGAAAGTATCTGTGAAAAAGATAAAAAAAAAAAAAAGAGTATTATACCATTATGCAGAAGAAACTTAATTTAGAAACCACATGCTTTGGTTTACCCATTTCTGCTTATCTTAATGATTTGACGGAAGGAGGAAAAGAGACAGGGACGTTAAACAACTTCCAAATTATAGGAATTAAGTCCACTTTCTGGTCTTAAATATTTATGTAGAAGACATTTCATTCACTTGCTGAGGGGTTTTTTTGGTTTTGTTTATCTCCTAAAGACTGGTAGGCTAATTGCTCATATTCTGACAGCATAACAAGATTCTTCTTAGCAGGCATAATGGGGTATGCTCTTTACATAAAATTTAGGAGCCCAATTCCATTTCTTCCTTAACAGCTGTACTTAAATTTATTAAAAATATATTTTAAACAAAGTAGATTTAAGTTTTTCAGACCATTTCTGAAAGTCATGCAACAATTAAGATTTTGATATATAGGATGCACCTAGTGCTTCAAAAGCAAGGTGCTTATTTTCCTGTATTCTTCATCAAGGAATATATAATCACAATCATTTTCTTCAAATGAGAGATGCTCATCTCTTGTGAGCTTTGATGCTTTAGATAGTTTCTTAGAAACAGGAAATAATTAAACATACCTGAAACATCTGAAAAGCTGCAGCCAAATCCATTTTAAAAGCCTACTGTTTCAAACATGTACATACAGACACAGAAATGCTTCCATTTGAGTATGTGTTTTTCTTTTAAGACAATTAATCATTTAAAAAGACAGATCAACTTCCTTGCAGCTGCCATAAGATTTTGGGGAGGAATGTTTCTTGAGAAATTCTTCAGTAATCACATGGGACAAAACCAGTATGTGCAAAGCCATCTGCACAATTAAGAGTCTTAGAAGGGATTTAGATTATGTGTTAAGCTTCATGAAAACCCTAAAGATGGAATACACAGGAGTCTAATCGAGAACTGCTAACTGATGAGAATCAGAAATTAGCGCGGAATATGTGAGACCTTTCAGCTTTTGCTTATGGACTTGGTGCAACACCTGGTCCATAGGACAAAGGTTCTATCATGTTCTGATGAACTTGCACATAGCTGAGAACTGCAAGGTATTACTGGACTGTTAGCACAAAAATTGAGAGATCAAGCACCTCGAGGCTGCTTCGGTGACAGACCAGAAGGAAAGACATTAAGCCACTGGAACCCAACCCACAGTTTATCAAGATCAGACTTCACAACAACAGAACTAAAACCTCGGTCACCACAAGTACTATCACCAGCCTTGTGGCTGACAGGACAATTACCTTTTTCAATAGTTTCCAAGGATTTGGAAGTTGAACTTCACTCCAGCTGCCTACTAAACTCCATTCTAACCTCTTTCCATTCATTCCCTAAACTCCTGTCATTGCCTTCCCACTTTCCCTCCTGTTAACTGCCTCCTCTTAGCAACTCCACCTCTGGCAGTCAGCCCATATTTTTTAAGCACAGTAGCACTGGTTTGTTATCTGCTTTGTGCTCACTGCTGTCACTGGAAGGGTTCGGGGTCCTGTAAACCTTCCTTCTGGCATGTCATGGAACTACTATCGGGCTTTGTTTTGTCCAATACCAGTTCTTCTAAAAAAACTAAGTTTATGAGCTATACACAGAACTGTATAACGGGGAGAGTTGTTAAGACAACAGAGAAATCCGAATACTGTATCCTGTGTATCCAGGCTAAATGAATGTCTGCTCAGGCCTCTTTTTATCTGTTTTGTCTTTTAGGTTGTAAACTCTTCAAAGGTCCACATTCTCTACTCACACTCTGTGTATGGTTCAGTAGCTCTTATGTTATGACTGAGATACCTAGGCAGAACCAGAATGCAAACACCAATCATACATTAAGTTGAGACATTTAAGCAATCCTTATGATGCTTGGGGACTGTCAGCCACAGCATCTGGTACTTCCACCACTACTTTAGTCACATTTCAAACTTTTCTTTCCTTTTGTTCCACTGACGTAAATTAGAGCAGATTCTCAGTTCCAGTAATTAGTATTAAGTTCAGGGAGTCTGTTAAAATGAAACAATTTTCTCTCTGTGTTTAATACAACAGCTGCACAAGTGAAACTATATCAGTATTTGTCCGTAGGTCTGAAATCTTCTCTAACTGTAATAAGCAAAAGATATTTTCAGTCAAAAAGGCACAAGCCGTCTATCAGTATTTATTAAAATGTTTAAAAAGGTCATATTTGTATTAGTAATTTTAGATATAGTAACTTGCAGGGCAGCAGTATGACTTCTCTGGAGCTCTCACAGATGAGTCAATTCCAACAGAAATTTCATCATTCTGTCCTGTCATGTGTTAAACATTGCATTACTATACTTCAGGATAAGCTGGGCTTGATACTTTTATTCCTAGCAGAATAACACATTAATTTCCCTTTCATTAGCCTTCCATTAAGCAGGATGTTATCAATAGTGCTATCATGGTACAGACTTGCAATACTTGCAGGACTTGAGAAAACTGGGAGGCATGCTCAGCACCCTGGTGCTTGGTCGAACAGTACTGGTTTTCTAATTGAATATGCACCATTGGGCAGCCTGCATCAAGGATGTAGGATAGTCCTTCAGTGGACATCACAAATCCAAAGGGGGTCTAGGACTGTCAGATTTAACAACTTGTTCTCAGTACTAAAGGGGTCAGTACTAAACCAAACGAGGAGTCCTACCTCACCAGGCACTACCAACAGGCACCAATGTTCAAAACATGGTCCCAACTGGTTTGTGCAAGGAGCCCATCGGTCTGTGCTAGGCACTCCCAGAACACACTCTAAGGCACACACAGAAATCCCTCTCTCTGATCCAAATCACACCCTCACAGAAAGCAGACACCAAACCATTCAGCCCAAGCTAGGTCTAGATATTAGCGCTCCCAAATAGGGAGATACCTAGCAAAGTTACTCACCAGCACAGTTTGGCTAAACACAAAACACTGAACAAGCTCTTTTTTTTTTTTTTTTTTTTTTTTTTTTTTTTTGTATCACAGTATTGAACTTTAGCACCTCTACCTATAAAACGGTTTTAGATTCCCACATCATTTGGGTCTAGTCCAATACTGAAGTTCTTCATTAGCATCAAACAGTAGCCAGGAAATACCATGCCAAATTCTGTTAAACTGCTCTTTCAGTTAGTTCCACTACCAGCTGCATTCTACACAGCCTTGTGCAGTAATACAGCATTATGTAACAGGACTGTTTCTCCTAAGTATCATTAAAAAATCTGCATAACAAACCACCATATTTACTAATGAACTGCAGAATTCAGTATCGTAGACTCAGCCATTACTGGGATCATTTTAAACTTCAAGTCCTAAATCCTGTCATGTACTTTAAAATGGTACTATACTATACTATTACCAGCACTTTGCATTAAAAGTAAAATGTCTAAAATGTAACTTAGCCGTATTAAAACTGTTTGTTTGGGGGTTGGGTGGGGTTTTTTTGCTATCTTAGATCTAGATCATGGAATTTGATCAACTGATTTAACTCTGGTTTCTGGGCAGTTTCACTCATCCTTTTCGTTACTCAAATGATGTCATGTGTCAGATGGAAACACTGGAGGGAAATATTTATTATCACATTTAGTGGAGAATATTTCTCTGGACTTTTCCACAACTGAAATGAACAAATAAAGATGGTACCCCTTTCCTTATGTAAAATCCCCTTTAAAAAACATCTAAAATTAATCTTAAACTGACCTGACAAGTGTCTGTACTGTTTGAGGGAATTTAACAGAATGGAAATTGCTGAACAGTACATGGTTCAGTCAGAAGAACATTTAGAAAATTATTCTGTCACTAAATTAACAATAATCAATAATCTGAGTCAGCATAAGGAAAATTTTGGAAACAATTTTCTAAATCAAACAAATCAGCTAGATTTTTATGGTGTCTTACTAGCACTGTCCTTGATACGTTAAAATCTCTATCTCTTTCTAATACTGAAAGATAAAACATTGAGTCTTTTTTGACACATCAAGCAAACTGCAGACCCAAACTTTCTTCCTCAGAACACGGTGGGAATTTTGTTATTTTCTTCTACGGAAGAAAAATCAAGCCTTAATGCATCAGCATGCAGAAGTAAAGTAACCTGATTAGAATGCCACATTATTAGCAGATTAAGCAATAATAATCCCTTGCAACGGGGAATTCAGACCCAAATTAGCTCCCTGGGAGATCTGGGCTCGCTATAGAACTTTCACTTCAGCTTCAGGCCCGCATTCAGAAACGCTGGCACAGGGAGATAAGACCTGTAAAGCCTCCGCTGACCAAAACTGCATGCGTTTGCAGTAAGACTCAAAGGAACTTCATTAGTCAAAGCACCAAAAGACACATTAAAAAATTTTGCTGCATACTCTTTTCTCCCAATCTTTCTTATATGGAATGGCTAGTAAGGGAGTTGTACTAGATCTGTCCAACACTGCCTGCTCCTCTTCACCGTTACACTGGTAATGAATCTTTATGTCAGGCTCCTTTTCAACGCATCTCTCTTAGACAGATCTGCATGCCAACATACAGACACTACTAGACCAGCACCGTTCTTGTTCTCTCAACTGTGTACTACCAGTAAACGATTAAAAGTTATGAGGCTGGAGATTTTCACAACGTGTACAGAAAAATAGGCACAAAAAAATCTCACTTGCTTACAAATTTGAAAGTATAATGAGTACAACTGCCCCATGTTCTTGCAATTACAGCACAAGCCTCTATAAAAAGCCATTTGTAAAGCAATTTCATGTTTAAAACATCCCACAATACTATTGCAACAACTGATGTAACTAAATACTAAAGAACTTTAAGCAATGCTTTTCTGACATAAATTAAAACACAATTATTTTTACATTGTGTTCCTTTTTAAAACCAGCACTCCTCTCTGAAACGGCAAGCCCAATAAATCCTCCATTCTTTTCTAACACCATGTAATTTATTTCCTTTATTATCTTATTTTTACATCTAT